GTGTGTGTGTGTGTGAGAGAGAGAGAGTGTGTATGTGTGAGAGAGAGAGAATGTGTGTGTGTGTGTGTGAGAGAGAGAGAGAGAAAGTGTGTGTGAGAGAGAGTGTGTGTGTGTGTGTGTGTGTGAGAGAGAGAGAGAGAGAGAGCGAGAGCACGAGCGAGAGAGCATGCGAGTGCGTGCCTTAAATACACAGACGTTTACCTCCCGAACATTCCTCACAGGCCCAGTGCAGGAACGTTAGGTTTGTCACCTTCAGCCTTCGCCATCATCTGCCTGCCTTTTCCTACAGATGGTGACCTTGATGTCGTGTTTTCCTCGTCCTCGAAGTGTGGCAAAGACAAGACAAAGTCCGTCTCATCCACCATCTTCTTCCACTGCGACCCCTCTGTGGATGAGGGCATCCCTGAGTTCAGCCACGAGACGGCTGACTGCCAGTACCTCTTCTCGTGGTACACCTCTGCTGTGTGTCCCCTCGGGTGAGTGCGGCTGCAGGGCCTCCATGTGCGTGGTGCTGGGCGTCTTCCTCTCGGGTGGACGTGCACCACGTGTCCATTGTTTGTGGGACTAGTCAGACATACACAGAAACGACTGAACCCCGGGCAGCCAGCTCTGACGGTCCCCCTCCTACAGGCTGTGGTCCGACAACACCACTCTCGCAGGAGAAGCACTGTCCTCTCTCCGACAGTGCCGCCCACCCAAAGCACTGTCTTCTGCAGTCCATTCTCTGACAGTCTCACTCTCCCAGGAGAAGCACTGTCCTCTGCAGTTTACTCTCTGACAGTGCCACTCTCCCAAAGCACTGTCCTCTGCGGTCCCTTCTCCGACAGTGTTGCTCTCCAGGACCCACGCGGGCAGCCAGCTCTTCCTTTCACGCACGTCCTGCCAGCCTTGTCTCTCTGTCCCAGTGTGTCTTCCGTCTGTGCATGGTACAGATGGTTGTCTGATGAAACCACCTTGATTCGAGTGAAGTAGCATCTCTGTTTGAGTGGCTGAAGACTTGCTTTTCAGAACTTGGCTCTCACCAGGGCTCCAGCTTTCCTGGGGAATGAGGAGAAGGCTCTTGTGATGAGGATAGAGCATGGCCTCGTGTAGCCTCTGGCCATGGCTCCTTCTAACATCATCTATTACCTTCTTGGTTCTCTACCACCCTTTTTAGCACCTCCTGTCCCAAACCATATGCTGCAAATGGCTTTCCCCATGGGTTTGTCCTCTTTCCCGTCAGCTGGGGCCACCATCTGGAACTCAGGCGTTTCCTTCTGAGCCTTGTCCCAGCACGAGCTGAGAATGAACCCTTGTTAGGTGGTAGTTTTTCCTTCACCTTCTGGAAAGGGGTCTGCTAATCAGGAGACAATGGGGACAAATTGTCGATAGAACTTTCTACTTCATACGAGCACCAGCCCAGCCAAATGTGAACAGCTGTGTGCTTCATCCCAAGGCTGTGGGAGTGAAGATTCTTGGCTGCGAGGTCGTGCAAATGCACCTGAATTTCACTTTGTGCTTTTGAGTGGTCACAGTATTCTGCCCTCGGAAGGTGAGAGTTCTTAGCGTTGACTTGAGGAGTCCCTTGGTGGCACAGGTGGCCACGTGTTCAGCTCATAGCTGAACGGTTGAAAGACAGGTCTGATCATCTGCCCCTGGAAGCCACGGCCGTCGAAAACTCAGTGGAGCCCACCAGGACTCAGAATCGACCCAGTGGTAACCAGCCATCAGATGGTTGGCATTAGCCAGTGGTGGCGGCCTGTACTGGTCCTGACTCCGGCACTGCCTTCCCCGGCCTTCTTCCAGGGTGGACTTGGATGGTGAGAGTGACGCGGAAGATGAGATGGAGCACCGGGGACTGTCAGGGCGGAGCCAGGCCTTGGGCACCATCCTCAGCCTGCTGCTGGTGGCCCTGACCGGCTGTCTGCTGACTCTGCTGCTCTACAAGAAGGAACAGAGGTGAGGAAGGCACAGCTGGGTGCGTGCTCTCCAGGGGTTCTGGGGTGGGAGCCCAGGGCTCTCTGCATCGGGACACACACAGTCCACTGCCGTGTGTCCCTTTGAGTAACCGTGGTTTCCTCTCTTACAGGGAAGCAGTGATGAATAAGCTCACCAACTGCTGCCGAAGAAGTTCAAATGTGTCCTATAAATACTCAAAGGTATTTTTCTTCTGAGGTCTCCTCCTTCTCGCCTCTAGCCCCCTCCTGTGATGCTGTCTCAGTAATGATACCCATAGACCAGGTGTGGTGCAGCAGGAAGAGCATTACGCCTCCTAACCCCAGTATGCTTTGTGCATGTATGTTTTCCTCCTTACAGCTGACTTCCTTGGAGGGCTGCCTCCACTTCTTTTATTATGCTAACAACACTCCACCCCCAACCCCCCACAATCTGTGTGACATCTCTGCACATCTGGCATTTAATGATCTCCTTCAGGGTACATTGCAAAGAGGCATTATTTGAGTCAAAGGACATAATAGTATTTAGGTCTTGATGCAGATTGCCACGATGACTTCCTGCCATGTCCTCCCATGCCCTCCCCACCCAGGTACCTGAATCTGGTGGGAGCCTGGGAGAGCTGCTTCTTATCCTGCATTGTGGCCTTGTCACCTGCCTGCCTGCCAGCCTGAGCAGCTTTGATTTGTCTTCGGGGTCTCAGACAAGCAGATCCAGACACACGCACACTCTAGGAGAGGTGTTTATTTCAAGAGATTGGCATATCCCATAGTGGGGGCTGACAGGACTAAGGTCTGTAGGACAGAGGGCAAAGAGAAGAGTGTAGAATCAAGAGAGAGAAACATCTACTTATAGTCTGAAGAGAGGCCACACTTTAAGGAACTTCCCATTTAATGGATTATATTGTTAGCGTGCCTTACTTGCATTGGTAGGGGGTTGATTGTATTACATTGCATTCTGGAAAGTAATGATATTGTAGTGCATTCTGTTGAATTATGGAAAGTGATTACATCGTGTTAGATGCATTGCATTAGGTTACCTTAAGGAAAGTGATGACATTGCAGTGCATTAGATTGTGCTATGGAAGGTAGTTACATTATGTTATGGAAGTGATTACATCACTTCACATTGTGTTATAGGTGATGAAGTGACCTTGGATCAGATTGCTTAATGGAAAGTGATAGCACACAGTCCTTTAAATTGTATTGCAGACGATGGTGACATTACATCGCATGATGGAAGGTGTCTAGATTGCACTAGGTTGCACTGTGGAAAGTGCTGTTGAATTGCATTATCGAAGGTGATTACATTTTTTGGTTGCATTGTGGAAAATGATGGCGAGTTATAGCTCTTCAGTATAGTGTTGTGGAAAGTGATGGCATTGGTTTGCATTATGGAAGAGTATGCAGAAGTTGGCGTTTTGGAAAGTGGTGACACTATAGTGAATTTGATTGCATTACGGAGGTCATTCCATTCTGCAAAAGCACCTGGCCTCGTCCTCGACAAAGTCGGGAGGTTTTCGAAGCTATGGGCTGGGTTAGTTGATGCACACGCTTTGCTGTCACCTGAACGTCTGCTGCTCATCTCTGGACCCTCTGGGAGCGGGGTGTGTCGTGGCTGAGGAGGGGAGGGTCTGTCTTGTCAGGGGACTCATCCTGGGATGGTAGAGGGGTGATGAGTGCCTGCGGTTAACCCCGCAGGTCAATAAGGAGGAGGAGACTGAGGAAAATGAAACTGAGTGGCTCATGGAGGAGGTCCAGCTGCCAGCTGCTGGACCCTCGAAGGACAGCCAGGAGAACGGCCATGTCTCTGCGACATCCGTCACCACAACTGCAGTGACCGCCGAGGCCCTGACATCCCTGCGCAGTGACGACCCGGACAGCGAGGACGAGATGCTGGCTGTTCCCGACCCACAGCCCTACACCACCAGGGTGCCTGGCCCCGACGGGGCACGCAGGCAGCGGAGCCCCCCCAGGAAGGTGGTCCGGGAGCAGGAAGACGACATGATGGGCCTTATCATCGGCGACAAGGCCTGGAAGGGGCGGGGCAGGGGGGCTCCCCAGAAGCTGGGGAGCTCTGGGCGCCCGGTGTCCTTCCATGATGACAGTGATGAAGACCTCCTTCGCGTCTAACCCTGGTGCCTACACAGAAGACGCATCAGTAGCACAGCAAAGCACCTCCAACCAAATAAGACTCGACCGCCATGACGCTTCTATCATTTGCCTTTAACAGAAACAGTTTTCAAAAGGGAAAAGATTTTGTGATGGGGGAGAGGGTCAGGAGGCCCGGCGCTGCCCACAGGGGTGCTCCCGGTCAGTGGGAACACAGCTTTGCCCAGAATTGGCCACCGGGTGAGGGCTTTGTCCCAGGGTTCTGTCCCCAGTGGCCGTCGAAGGCGCAGCCGCCATCGGTGCGTCTCGGCGCAGAGGGCCGCCTCTGCCAGGAACCCTTTGCTGCTTTAGTCCCTGTCGGGCGTTTGACCATTCTCCAGCATTTTCATTCTCTCCCCTATTTATTGACTTTGACAATTACTCAGGTTAAGAAAAAAGAATCAAAAGAATTGAAAACATACCAACCAAGCCAGGCGGTAAGCAGCGAAAGCAGCTACCGTCCTGCGAGCCAGGGGGAGTCCCCTACTGGCTCACCCATTAGAAGAAGGGAAAAACTGTTAGCATGGCAAGGGAGGTGAAGGCAGAGTCTGTGGAACTGGTCAGTGAGTTTGCCCCAGGTTAGGATACTCCACCCGCTAACTTCTCTTTTCTGCTTTCTGTTCGGAAGGGAACACACGGCACAGCGCACACGCGTGTGCAGAGCCCGTGGGCCCGGGCGGAGGAGGCTCGCCCGTTTGATGCCTTTAGTCAGTTAACCGCTGCCGCTTTTTGCATGACATCCTCAATCTTAGGTGAACAAGGCACCTTTTGTCAGTATTCACACGACGACCCACCCACCCAGAGACGGCTGTAGGCGCGCAGGAGTGGGGTTGAGATGTCCCAAAAATACCGCTCTTTGCAGATGGGGGAGTTCGCTCCCATCTCTTCAGGTCCTCACAATACCACCTTTACTGTGCTTTACGTTTATTTTTCTTTTCTTTTCTTTTTTTTTTAAGACAAAAGTGTTGATCAGCCATTCGACCTATCGAAGCCTTAATATGCACAGTCTGTGGCGTAGGGAGGTTGCATGAGGAAATGGGCCCACAGCTGGCCCCCACGGGCCCCTATATGTAGCTCGGAGGGAGGTTCAGGGTGGGACCCCGGCTGTGGCCAGGCCGGAGGGGCACTGCAGTGTCCTCGCCCCTGGTGGCTCTTTTATTGCTATTTAGTGGAAGACTTTCTGGAATGTATCTTGCATTATAGACATGTATATAGACTCATGGTATTCATATACTTAGCCGCGGCCTGCCTCTCCGGGGTGCCTCGTCTGCACCGGAGTGGCCGGCTCACATGATTTCAACACGAGTGTATTTTTAAACTTTTTGATTTCTTTCCTCATTTTTATTTCAATCAAATTTACTGTAATATAAAAAGTTATTCAACAATTTCAATAAAAGATAAATTATTAATTGAGTGTGATTTTTCTCCCCCTCCCCTCTTCCCATCTCTGAGTGGTGAAAAGTAGTTCTTTGGCCTGCCCGCCTGCCTTCCAGGCTGTATTTCTGTTTTCAGTAACACAAATGAGTTTTTAATTTGGGTGTTAACTTTGGTTACCTCAGTGGCCTTTGATTAAGCAGCACACTAGTTTCTGTGTTGAGTCTTCTTGCGGTCCATTCCACTGTAGTATAGAGATCAAAACCCTGGAGGTTGGTGGCTAAAGACAGTTGAGCGGCTAACCAAACAAAAGGTTGGCGGTTCCAACCCGCCAGTCACTGTAGGAGTCTGTCCCTGCAGAGATTTCCGATCATGGAACCTCTCTGGTTCTCTCTCTCTCAGGGTCGCCACGAATTGATGTCACTTCAGTAGCAACAGGGTTTTGGGGTTATTTTTAAATTATCCAGTTGGAGTTGCCCTTTGCCCCCCAGATTTCTCATGACTGCTTCTGAACCATTAGCATCACGGGGCCTCGGCAAAGACCTTGACCCCTGGCGTTATACTGAGGGGCTCTCTTGCCCGAGCTGGTCCCTGGCCCTGCCCCATGCCCACAGGGAACCCTCTTTGTAAAGAGCACTGACAAAGGCCAGCTGGCATCCCTGGGCAACGTGGTGGTCTTGCCAGCCACTCGCTCAGGGAAGCTATTGATGCCCGACGCTCACTTTAACTGCTAATTGTCTATAGTCAGAGTTGAGAGGACGTGCACACTGCTTGGAATAGCTGACTGAGTGTTATTTGTAATTTGGGCCCCGTCTCACCACAGGTGACAGGGTAAGTCCTCACCACTGTCACATGCATGTTCTAGGAAAACCTGGGACGCTCACCATGAAGAATCCAGGTGTCTCCAGAGGAGTGATTTTTTTGGTACAATAAAACCTTGATCTTGATTCAGTTCCTTTGCAGCTCCTCTGCTGCTGCCGCACAGCGTGACCATATCCCCTTCTCCAGCTTTGCTGGCCTCGGAGCCCCTGGCCTCCCTGGTCACCCTTGGCCTCCCTGGCCACCCTGGCCTCCCTGGTTACTCTGGCCTCCCTGGTCACCCTGGCCTCCCTGGCCTCCCTGGTCACCCTGGCCTCCCTGGCCACCCTGGCCTCCCTGGTCATCCTGGCCACCCTGGTCACCCTGGCCTCTCTGGTTACTCTGGCCACCCTGGCCTCTCTGGTCACTCTGGCCTCCCTGGTCACCCTCGCCTCCCTGGTCATCTTGGCTGGACTCTGGGACTGGGAGATAGGAGGGAATCACATGGGACTGGGGGTGGGTGGACCTGCCCCTTCATTCCAGAAAAAAGGGGGGACCTGGGTGCCCAAGGACTGGAGGGTAGCTCCTCAGAGATGCATGCTGCTTTCCCTCTGTGCCCCCTCCCTGAAGAGACTGAGTGTGGTGGGCTGCCAAACTTGGCAGAGGGGGCAGGGCTGGAGGGGATAAGGAGACCTCTGGCCTCTGCAAAGATGTCTGAAGTCAGGACCTTCACACATCGCCACACTTGTCTCTAACCAGCACCTTGGCCCCTGGCTGTTCTCTAGCCCACAGAGGCTGAAAGTCAAGGTCAGAACCTTGACTGTGTAAAGGATTTGCTTTAGAGTGCACTAACTGCCTTCTTCCCAGGGAGCACACAACCCAAGACCCTGAGGGGAAGATGTGGGAGGGGGACTTCCACTCTGCAGCCTCAAGACATCAGCCCCAGTGTCCCTGACAGAGTGTGTCAGTCTGGGTTCTCCAGAGAAGCAAAACCAATGAAGCTTTCATGTATATAGAGAAATTTCTCTCAAGGAAACAATTATAGGCTTGTTCAGTTTGACAATTCTCAAGTTCCCGGATCAGATGTCAGGCAAGAGGCTTCTCCTGACTCCTGAAGCTGCAAGGATTGCTGAACCCAAGATCAGCAGACTACTGGCTTCTGAAGCTGATGAATCTAAGATTGGCAGACAACATGTCAGGCTGCTGGCTTAAGTCCCAAGACCCAGAAACTGGATGCAGGATCCTGATGGAGCAAAGAGCAAGAGAGCTTTGCCAGATGTGTCTACGTATATCTGATGTGGGCCACCACTCCAAGGAAACGCCCTGCTTGTGGCCGATCTCACTGTAGAAGTCACATCAAATCTCATCAAGAGATTATTTCTAATCTCTTTAAGGAATAACTACATCATAACTACCAAGTTAGAGAATCCTAACAGCCAAGTTGACACACAACCATGACATCCACAAAAAAAAAAGAACAAACAAACCAACAACACTACGATAGAGTGAATTCTGATTCAGCGCAACCCTGTGGGACAAAGTACGACTGCCCATTGTGTTTCTCGACTTTGTGTAAATGCACTGCCACGTCCTCCCATGGAGCACCTGTGGCTGGCAGCTGAGCTCTTTCACCACTGTGCACCAGGTCAGCGCTTCCTTGGCTCCTGGGCCACCTGGTCTGTCTGCAAGCCAAGGATCCCAGAGCCACGCGGCAGAGGGGGAGGCTAGAGAGCAGGGCAGAGAGGCCTGCCCTCCTGTTCTCCACACCTGCCTGGCTCCCAGATGTCTACATGGAGTGGGCGTAGGTCCTAGGGCAGTATATAGTACAAGGCCCAGCCTCAGTCCTGACCTTCACCAACACCCTGGGCTCCACATCCACCTGGTTCCCAGTGTCCCCAGGGAGTGACATGGGCCCTGGGGCAGCATGGAACACACCACCCAGTCCTGATGGTGTAGAAAGGGCAGCAGAGTCTGTCTGGACTCTGCACCTCTCACAGCCCTGTGTTCACTACTGCACTTGCAGAACCACCAGACCATGGAGCCTCTGTCTCCGCCATCGGGAGTTGCCGGCTGTGGTCTCACCTGAGGCTTGTCTGAGGAAGCCCCTCAGAGCACCAGCTATGAACAGAGTGGGACTCCTCCTGGCCAGCACGAGGTCTCCCCATCAGGTCATTTGCTTCCCTGGAGCCAGGAAGGAGGTAGTCCTACGAAGTGGACCTGACAGTCCTGTGTCTCACTTGCTCGATCCCCTTGGTTGGAAACAAGTCCCACCCACCCTCGAGGGGATGGAGGAGACATCCGACATTCTGTTCCTCTGCCTCTCCTGCTGCTTCTAGCCTGTCTCCGGCTTATTCCCAGGGGCTCATGGCAGGCTGACAGCCAGCTGTAGGGACTCCCTGTCCTGGTACATGCTTCTGTGATAGTGCTGGGGACAGTCCCTCCACACATCTGCCATGGGCTGAACTGCGTTTCCTAAAGAGATGTTCGATTCCTAACCTCAGAACCTGTTTGTCTGGAGATAGGGTCTCAGGAGAAGTTCTCCATCCCCATGAGGTCACACAGGTCACGCAGGGTGGCTCGTAAGCCCATCTGACTGGTGTCACTATAAGAAGAGAAGAGGGATGGCAGACGAAGAGAGAGGATGGCTGTGTGAAGACGGGGGCAGCTGCAAGAGGCCAGGGCCGTTCTAGACACTTCAGAGGCTATGTGCCTTGTTGACACCTTGATGCCTCTGACTTCTGGTCTCCAGAACTGGAGAGGGCAGATTGCATTGTTTGAAGCCACTCAGTATGTTCATTGCTATGGGGCCGCCCCCCAACATGCTAAAGTGCCTCGTGGCACCTTGTGACATGTATGGCCCATCTTGAGACATGTGGCACCCTATGGCATGTTGTGGCTTGTTACAGCCGGTCATCACGCATCACGGCAGGCCATGGGATGTTCAGGGCACGGTCTGAAACCCAAGGACACTCAGCTGTCTTCCCACCGTGGTCAGAGAATGGTCCATGTGTATGTGTCACACGGGTTTGCTGAGGGAGCGAAGGGCCAGCAGTGAAGAGGGTCCCTGGGCAGTTAGATGTTCCAAACCCAGAACCCAAGTGGTTTTCCTCTAGGGCAGAGGGAGCTTCCTGCTCTGTCTCAGGGTAACGAGCGAAAGCCATTTTCCTTCCCAAGTCTCTGCTGCCCCCGGGGCGGGTGGACACAGAGATAGGACCCACCAAGGAGCCAGCACGGGGGTGCGTGGAGGACATGTGTCACCCCAAAGCTGGGGTCCTTCCCCCTGAGCCCAGGTGATAATAGGGAAGCGGACTAGTGTTGGGGTCCACCTGGCCCTTACTCACAGGGCCTGGTGGGGAAGCTCATGAATCCCTGAATCTTAGTTCTGTCTGTGAAAGGAGCTGGTGCCCGCTTGGCTCCTGTGTATAAATCTATTACTCATGTTTCCTGGCGGGGGTGGGGAGGTGGTGTCTCCTGGTGCATCCCTTCCCCAGGAATCTCTAGCTTTAAGTCCCTCAGAGACAGACAACAAGATGTTGGGCCTGCAGAAGGCTATGGCTCAGCCCCCGGGCTTCTGTGGGGCTCTGGAGATGTGCTGAGGATGGCAAAGCTCACCTCTTCATCTGGGACTCACCCAGCACCTGGAGTCCCACCACAACCCTATCCCTGTGTCCCACTGTGGTGGCTGGTGTGTCAGTGTGATGCTGGCAGCTATGCTACTCGTGTGGCAAACCCCAGCAGGGTCACCCGTGGTGGACAAGCCCCAGTGTAGCCTCCACTAAGACTAGGAAGACAAGCCTGGCAATGCATTGGAAATGAGCGAGTGAAAACCCCCTGAGCTCCAGGACTGTAGTGGGTAAGGAGCTGTGCTGGGAGTGCGTTGCAACTCCACAGACACGCACTGTGTTATTTGAAAGCCCTGTGAACCAGGACAGCGTGTTGTCTAGTACAGAACTGGAAGGTGAGTGCGTGCCTGGCCTGAAGGGGACCCGGACTACAGCGTGGCCGCTCCAGCACCCATGGCCGTAAGGACGGTACAGGACAGAGAGGGCTTGACTTGATGGCAGCTCACAACGTGACAAGGACAGCAGAGGATGAGGGAAGTATTTTCATGGAGAAACTTTTCGGGGTTCCTTACAGAGCTGAGGGGGTGTCCAGTACCATGTGCTCTCTTTGATGTGACTTGAGCTGGCCTGGTCAACCTTTTCCCCAGTTAAGTAAGCAAATCAGCAGTTCCCGTCCTGCTCTGCCCTGACCCTGACCCTGGCTCCAGACGCCGGTAAAAGTTCACTCACTCCCAGCTGGTTACCTTCCAGAAACATCATGCTTGCACAGCAACCTGATTTCAAACCACTGTATAAAAAAAAAAAAAAAAACAAAAAACAAAAAAAAAAAAAAAACCCCACAACACACCAACACCCAGCCGCTTGGGACTCACCAGGCCTGGCCACAGGAGGGGCTGCTCGAGGGATGCCGCCCTGCCGTCACCATGCCCACCGTGGACGACGTCTTAGAGCAGGTCGGGGACTTCGGCTGGTTCCAGAAGCAGGCCTTTCTGACCCTGTGCCTGCTCTCAGCCTCCTTCGCCCCCATCTACGTGGGCATCGTCTTCCTGGGCTTCACCCCCGACCACCACTGCCGGAGCCCCGGGGTGGCCGAGCTCAGCAGGCGGTGTGGCTGGACCCGCGACCAGGAGCTGAACTACACGCTGCCCGGGCTGGGGGCCGAGGGCGACGCCTTCACCCGCCAGTGCCGCATGTTCCAGGTGGACTGGAACCAGAGCGCCCTGGGCTGCGTGGACCCACTGGCCGACCTGGCCGCCAACAGGAGCCACCTGCCACTGGGCCCGTGTGAGCATGGCTGGGTGTACGACACACCCGGCTCCTCCATCGTCACCGAGGTGAGACAGGCAGGCACAACCAGGACAGAGAGGGGACACCAGAGCACAAAGCAAAGCAAAAGAAAGCCAAAAGGACCCCCAGCACCACACCGAGACAGGGGTCAACAGGCCCTGCTGAGTCCGTGCACGGGAAAAAAAAAGCGACATCATTCTCTAGCCAAGTGGCCGCAACGCCCTGTCCAAAAAGACACCACCCACAGCGGGCCTCCACCAGCAAGACAGGGGCGAGAAAACACACACCGGCGTCAGGAAAGAGCCCCCAGGGTTCACTGTGAACCCCGCTGCCCCATCAGCAGCATGGCTGGTGACCCACCCTCTGCTCAAGCATAATGGACGTGCCGTGTCTAGGTGGTGGCTGTGGTGACAGAGAAGGAGCTCTGATGGCACAGAGTGGCCCTCTGCTCACCAGAAGGTCCAAGGTTTGGATCCACCAACGCTCCAAGGGAGAAGGATGTTGACCAGTCTCATCTCAGAAAGACTGACAGCCTGGGAAACGGGGTGGAGGGCTTGCTGTGCAGCTGAAGGAACCAGGCAGTGGTAGGGCCTGGGGATTTAGAGGAGATACAAACATCCCAAGTGGTACCAACAATTGGCGCCTTTGCCTGACCAGCAGCAGCCCCTGAGGCCAGCATGGTGAGACTTCATCGCACATACTTTGGACACCCTGTCAGGAGGGGCTGTCCCTGGAGGAGGACAAGCAAGCTGGTAGCGTAGAAAGAGTCAGCAAAATAGAGGCACAATTCCAGTGACATGGACTTGGCTGCAACAGTGGTCTCAAACCCAGCACCTGTCGTGAGGGTGGTTTGCCGTGTTCCCTTCTGTCGCGCACGGGGTTGGTACGAGTTAGAAGTGACTCAGCAGCACCTAACCAAAGCTGGCAATGTCACTGGCCAGCAGCTGTTAGAGACTCCCCAGAGTGTGGTTCCAGCGAGAACACCCATTATCCATTATGGAAATGAGGCACAGCGGGACGCTCTCCATTGCTCCCCAATGCCTGCCCCTGGCAAGCTCCCAGGTCTCTGAATGACTTCCCTTTCTATCTCCCTGCTCTCTTGTCACTCAAGGGATGTTGGTGCATGTTGAGGAGGAGGAGGAGGGTCCTGGCTTGGGGATCTGAGTGAATAAACTGATGCTGGTTATAGTATACTACTATCCCTAGTTCTTCCATGATAGAAAGACCACAAATTGATGCTTTAAGTAGAGCATGATTCTTTGATGTTGAGGAGGTTAGAAGTCCTAATCTAGAACACTGGCTTTGGGAGGAGACTTCCTCTGTGTTGCTTTAAGGGAAGGTCCTTGTCTCATTTCCGCTTGTTTCTTGGTTCCTGGAAGGTGTCCTGTAGCTACCTCTCTACATCTCTGCTTTATTTTGCTTGCTTTTATATCACAAAAGAGATTGATTTAAGACTCCGCTAGAACGTTCTTGTTAATGTAACAAAGGGAAGCCCATTCCCGACTTGGCCTGTAACCCTGGCACGTAGCAGTAGCATGTAGACGGTAACACTGTTACATGGCTGCTTGTAGGCGCCACGGAGTGGGAGCTGGCTCACAGTGACCATGAAAGGGGCCACAGGCTCTTCCATCTTCAGGTGCTCGCTGTCTCAATAGCATAAAACACTGTCCGCTCCTGAAGCAGCCTCACGGTCATGTCTACCTTGTGCCCACTGGTCCAGCCATTGTACCAGTCCGTTCCCTTGAGAGGCTTCATCCTTTTCACTAATAGACTCTCCTTTACCAAGCATGGGGCTAGGATTTGCACCACAACGGCATCATATTTTACAAAACACACATTTTTTTTTTTTTGGAAGGCGTTTCAATCCCTAACAGTCAGCAAGCAAGAGGGAGGGGCCATTTGAGGAGGGGCGGGTCTGTGATGAGGTCCTGACCACCACGGGGGTGGTAGAGATGGAGGGGAGAACAGGAGCAGGAGGACAGGAGGCTTGCAGACCTTTGGGGATTTGTGGCTGGGGATTCGAGGGAATTGAAGAACAGGTTTAAGTTGATCCCAAGGCCTAGAGCTTTGGAGCCTAGAGAAAGAAAGCCCTGAGGGTCAGTTACAGAGAGAGAGAGGTAGAGGTGGTTTCAGGAAACTTACTGTACAGGCATCCTGAGTCTGAAAAGGAACCAGTGTACTCCGGGGACAGCAGTTGTTATTGTTGTTGTTATGTGCCATCGAGTCATTTGCGATTCATAGCAACCCTATCTACGTACAAGAGCCCTAAACACACTCATTCCCACCGCTCCAGTCACAGAATCGATCCATCTCATCGAGGGTCTTCCTCTCCTGCGCCGCCCCTCCACTCTGCCAAACATGATGTTCCTCTCCAAGGACCAGTCCCTCCTTGCAACATGCCCAAAGTATGTCAGATGAAGCCTCAGAATCCTTGACTCCAAGGAGCATTCCGCCTTCACCCTCTCCAGGACAAACCTGTTTGTTCTCCTAGCAGAACAACAGAGAAGAAGGAGCAGCTGTCAGCAGACACTAGTGACTGGAAAGTGGAATGTGAGAAGCATGAATATAGGAAAAATTGGACATTGTTAAGAAAGAAATGGAACGCATAAATATTGACATACTAGGTATTGGCGAAATGAGATGGCTTGGCATGGGACATTTTGAATCAGATGATCATATGTTTTTCTATGCCGGGGATGGAAAGGTGAGAAAAAAATGGGGTTGGTTTCATAATTGAAAAATCATTTCTAGATCCATCCTGAAATATAATGTGGTGAGCGACAGGATAATATCCATACACATACAAGGAAGTCCACTGAATACCACCATCATTCAAATATATGAACCAACAAGTAGAGCCAAAGAGGAGGAAATGGATGATTTCTACCTTTTGCAGTCAGAAACTGTTCAAATGTGCAATCAAGATGCTTTGATAATAATGGGGAACAGCAGTGGGGCAGAGAAAACCCTGGGGATCCATTCAGAGATCTTCCAAGGCCCCCACAAGCATGTGCCCTGTGACGGAGGGCAATAAGAGTTGGCTCCCTGGCAGGGATTCACTTCCATGTCAGTTCTCCCTGTGTTTCTTTAAAGCCACCCCCACCTTCACACTTCATTCTGAACTGAAGATTATCCTTAGAGAATGAACTTTTAATTATTCACTCCAGAAATAATTTTTAACTTGACATTGCCTTGGACGTTGGAACTTGCTTACGGGAGGAAGAGAAGCCAATTCATTAGAAAACTCGCTTGTTGTTGTTATGTGCCGTCGAGTTGTTTGCGACTCATAGCGACCCTATATACAACAGCCCTAAACTCTGCTCTGTCCTGTGCCAATTGCACTGCCTCTGACACACCCACCCCCATTACTCCAGTCACTGAATCAATCTACCTCATAGAGGGCCTTCCCCTCCTGCACTGTCTCTCCACCCTCCCAAGCATGATGTCCCTCTCCAAGGACCTGTCCCTTCTTACAACATGTCCAAAGTATGTTAGAAGGAGCCTCAGAATCCTTGCCTCCAAGGAGCCGCCCGGTTTAACCCTCTCCAGGATGAATCTGTTTGTTCTCTTGGTAGTCCATGGTACACTCATAGTCTGCTCCAGCACCACAGCTCAAAGGAACAATTCTTCTTCTATCCTCCCTAGTCATTGTCCAACTCTCTGACATATAACAAGTGATTGCAAAGACCATGGACTTGCTTAAATGATATTAATTATAGAACAGAGTTCAGGTCTTTTGTTCATAGGGTCACTATGTATTCGACTTGACGACATTTAACCACTGCTAAGTGAAACTAGTATTGCTATATTTTGGAGGACAATTCTTCCACTTTGTACATCACTGTTAGTCAACTTGCTGTACTTAAGTAATCTGGGTTTGCTGTGATGCTGAACCTTGTGCCATTAGGGTTTCAAATACCATAATGGTTTACCAATGTGGACAGTATTTGGTGGAGCTCTCATTTGTAGGATAGGTTTGGAAGCAGGAGTGGTATCCAATTCCTAAACCACATGCCTATATGAAAATCCTATGAATGTGGAGAAACTTATAGGAAGGCATCAGGTCTTTTGTTCATAGAGTCGCTATGAGCCGTGCTTGACTCAAAATCAATTAACAACAACAGCCACCTAGGGTTTAGGAGGGTGGGGTCCATTTGAGGAGGAACATAACAAGCTTCCCTGCCACCTGAGTGGTGAGGCAGTAAGGATGTGACTTTTCTTGTAAGACATTTTCCAAGAGTAGGAAAGAAGAGAGCTACATGGGAAGAAAATTGAGCAATTGCTCTTTGGAATTCAAGAAACCATGCCCTATTTGGAGGTTGAGAAGGGAATGGAGAGGTGGAGGAACTGATGCTGGCCAGGTTTCCAGTTTAAGTTCTAATGGGTGATTGTTATTGATTGAATCATATGCCCCAAAATGTGGACCGATTTGATGAGGCCATGATCCTTTTCTCACATTTTGTGACCTGATGTCACTCTCTTACATGTTCTCAGTGAAAGCCTTTATGATGGCGTGGAAGAAGTGCAGTGAGGGTGCTCCTTCTTGTTGTTGTTAAGTGCCGTCGAGCCATAGAGGACTCATAGCAACCCTATGAACAGAAGACCTGAACAATTGTATAACTTTCATCATTTCTCCAAGTTTATAGTTTCTGGAGGCGCATTATTTCGGAAGTGGATGCCACTCCTGCTTCCAATCTTGTTTTAATCAGGAAACTCCACCAAGCAGTGTCCACCATGGGTAACTGTTATCACATTCGACACATCAGTGTCACAGTGTTCAGCATCACAGCAACCAAAAGTTACCTCTGTACAGCAAATGGACAGACCAGTGCTGTACCACCTAGAAGAATGTTTGACCAAACACAATTAAAACCAGGCCTGAGAACCACAGATTAAAATCACCCACCTTTGGCTTGTTTGCATCACTTTCTGTCCACTAGGCCAATTGAGCTCTAAGTTGTTGTTATTGTTAAGTGGAGTCGAGTCATAGACGACTCATAGCGACCCTATGAATGAAAGACCTGAAACTTGTTTAACTTTTGTCATT